ACAGATTTTGAATTTTCCTTCCGTAGGTTCTGAAGTTACCTTATACTCATCTGCAGCAACCCACTCTGGTTCTTTTCTCTTCTTTTTCCCCTTTTTCTCCTTAGTGTGTTTAGTACCAGAGGCCTGGTAAGACTGCAGATCCACTCGTGAATGAAACTGGTATCGGCCACTTTCCACATCACAGTAGTAATAAATTCCAGTTGCTGGGTCATAATAGAGTTGAGTTTCCTTTAGAAGAAATGAAGAACAATGTTATCATCACTTCAATAAATACACGGTTCAAAGAAACATCTAATTAATAAAGAACCCCATTTGAAGYTTGATAATATGAAAGAGCTGTGGTGTCTTGATCCTGGATGGTTACCAGATGGCCATCCAACCAYGCTTGTCAATCCCCCTCCTTCAACAGGACTGGGAAGAAAATAAGATGAAAACCTCATAGGCCAAGACAGAGAGTCACTATCCTGGGTAAGCCAGATTCAACTTGGAAATAATTAAAATAGAGCTGGAAGGTAAGGGGCAAATCAAAAACACTGTCCCCAGTCTCTTTGTTTTCCCAAGCTCAATTATACCACCTGATTCTCAGTTCCTCTGTCTTCTGCCACAAGTGGAGGAAGGTGCAGGCAGAGGAGTAGGGAGCTGAAATGAGTTCACTGAAAGTCCCTCTCTGCTGCTACTTCTTCCCTGCCCACCATGGGACCTTTAAGAACTGCTTCAAGCCTTCAAGGTCACAGCTCATGCCAAGGGGAACTGCTCTGGGATCTGGCATGAACTGTCCACAGACCACAGCTCCCCAGCTGTGGGATCTGTGTGGGATTCTCCACAGACTGTAGTGTAAGTAGCTGCTTCAGCATGGTCTGCTCTACAGACTGCAGGAAAATGTCTGTCCTGGTGCTTGGAGAACCTCCTTCTGTTCCTTCTTCTTTGCCCCTGGTGTTTGCAGGATTATTTTTCACACTTAACCTCCCGCCATACTGACTCCAATGTGCAGAGTTATGCCTTTCCTTACCCTGCCTTCAGAGAGGCACTGCCAACTTCTCTAATAACTGTGCTGTGCCCTGAAGTGGAACCAGCTGTGCCCAGGCAGCCTCTGGCCTCTCTCACAGAGGCTACCTCTGATGACTCCATCATCAGAACTTTACCAGTAAAAGCAATACAAGAATATTTCCYGTAATTCAGAATACTCACTGACCAAGAAAAGGTATTGTTTTGGATAATTGTACTATCAGTTGTAATCTATAGACCCAAAYATTTATGTATAACTAAATCCACAAACTATGTCAAAAGCCATGGTATCCTTTAACACCTTAAAAATTAAGCCCAGAAGTGTCCCAAAAATAAGCAGCTGTGTACTTCATGCGGTTTTTTTAATCTATAGATCTGTGTACGTATCCACACACACTCCTCATAGGACAAAAGGAAAGCCTCCTCAAAAGCCATATGAAAAATGTATACAATAAATAACCACTACAAAATTCTGATCTGTTATCTAATGTCTTTTTTTTAAGAAGTATTTTCTTTCCTGTAGCATCAAACAGGTTGATAACAGTTTGTAAAAGCACAAACACTTGTGTATTTTCGCTCAACATGCTTTTCACTGTTGAGAAATAACTCACTTACTTCAAAAATACATCTTTTTCTAAACAAGTCACCTTTAAGCTCAAGCTTTCAGGTTTGAAAGAGTTACAGATCAGCTTTGTAGCATAAAATTTCTACAATGTCCAGTAATGTAAAGATCTAGGAGACTTAAAAAAGAACTGAATTAAAACCTAAATTTGTATCTTAGCCTGTTATCTTTAATTTGACTGAAATAATTTAAAAATTAATTAACAAACTTCTAGCACGATTCTTCAGTAACTTGTTTTTCAAAACACAAAATCGGCCTGGATCTTAGTCCTTTGCTCACATTCATTTTTACTAATAAAACTTTTGCAACAGAGAAAAAATGACAAGGATTTTGGAAATCATTCTTACTGAATTGTAGTAGAATCCAGTGCTATGGTCATAATACAATCCTGTATTTTCATCATAAATAAATCCGGTTTGTGAAACAGCAGCCTCTGCAGCAGCTCTCAAGCTGTCTGCCAAAGAACCCTCTGGTACTGAAGCTTCTTCTGTCGCCTGACAACAGAAAGTACGAAAGGTAAGTGCTCTGTGAACTTGGATTGTTTCAGAAGGCAAAAAACTGGCTGCAGTTTACTGATAAACTCCTACTGATTTCAATGAGACCAAGACTTCAGCCTGAATATATCATTTTTTCCAAGCTTTACTCAAAAATGATTCACGTCTAAAATACACACAGTAAACATATTTCAGAGCATTCCTAAGACAGATTTCTGCTCTCTGTTCCATTTCAGTTCCTAGATGCTCAGGTGCAAACACAGTTGAATGATCTAAGAAAAGGCTGGAGAGCAGGGAAGAAAACCAACCCACCACAAAATAGACAAATAAACCCCACCAAAGACACTCTTCACCTTATATATTGCTTCCTTATGTCGATGGATGAAAAAATAAAATGCACTATTTAAGCAAATCAACATGGACATATTGGACATACTCTGCTGATAAAAAASGTCCTGCTTCCAGGCTATGTAGGACATAGGTGACTTTTTAAAGAACTCTCAAACTCCAAGACACAAACCTAAGAAGATGCTACACTTGGAACACACCCAAAAAAGAACTAGTTTTCAAATACMAGGATATTACCAGCACCAGAACTTCACAAAAAATTATTTTGTATAAAGACATCAGRACCAGAAGCATATATTTTAGATGGAGTATTAACAGAGTACTGATTTYACAACTGGTAAAACAGTTAGACAGTCAAAAAACCTGTGAATTCTGGATGAATTTCTCCTCTTCTCCATCTTCAATAACTTTGGCGCTATCCTTCCTTAGTGGAATATTAACACCTGTCTCCGATTCCTCTATGGAATTATGCTTAGTGCCTTCAGTCCCGTTATTGTGCTGCACTGGTAGCTCAGAACCACAATTTTGAGTATCAGTGTGATTGTAATAACCTTCATAGTAGTAATAATCTGCAGGGGAGAGACAGGGAGACAAAAAAAACACTTTAAGTTGCGTGAATTAGCAAAGGAGTATTTTACTAATGCGGTTTAAGGATGCTTAATCTTAAACTGGAAATTTATGCAAGCAAGCAGTTGAATGAAAATAAAATACTAGGTGGTGCTTCTACTTTGAATTGATTCTACTCTTACTGCACAAATTGTGTCTTGTTGTAATGTACTTAAAAAATGGTAAAACACCAATGTTTGTAACATGAGATTACTATATAACAAATTACAACAGCATTAATTCTGCTACTTCATGCTACCTTTTATCTTGAATTAGTGGCTCGAAAAAATAGGAAATARTGTGAATGATAATGTCAGGTTACTGAGTTTTTTAGCAAAGGATACAGACTTGAAACATATTTTACATTACAAAATTTTCTAAGATACTGCTCTAGATCCCCATTTAAACAGTCACCATGTCCYCTACCTGCTTGTGACCATGCAGCACAGTCCTCTGTCTGTACTTCTACACTAGATGTATTTTTCTCCTTTCTGTTCTGGATTTCTTTAGTGAGTTCTTCCACCTGAAAGAAAAATTGCATGTTAAGAACACAATACTGCATTTTAGTGCTTTGCATCTCAGAAAAGAGTGTCAGCCTAKTCTACGTTCCATAAGTCAAACAAAACACAATGGCATCACAGGTGTTCCAAGTGACTTTGTCTGGCATGAGAAAATTTTGTACAGAAATGGTTGACATAAAGAAACACATAATTTCTGCTCACAAAGGAGCAGAGAAACTTAACCGAGGTTATTCCTAAATGCCCATCRTGTAAAGTTGGATTTCAAGCAATGACCAGCTTTCTTTGTGGCTWTTATGAATCACAAAATTGCAGAATGCCCTGAGCTGGAAGGCACCCGCAAAGATCATCGAGTCCAACCGCTGGCCCTGCACAGGACTTCTGTAAGAATCACACCATGTGCCTGAGATCACTGTCCAAAAGCTTCTTGAACTCAGGCTTGGTGATGTGACCACTTCCCTGGTGAGCCTGTTCCAGTGAAGAACCTTCTTCTACTATCCAATCTAAAACTCCCCTGACACAACTCCAGGCCATTCCCTCGGGTCCTGCCAGAGAAGAGATCAGTGYCTGGCATCTGCCTCCCCTCATAAGGAAGCCGAATACCGCGATGAGGTATTCAAAACTTTTACCTCACACTTTGTTTAATAAACTTCCTTCCCTCTGCTATATGTAATTTTTCCTTCTGACTGCAAATCCAACCCTGTAGCAAAGAAGTCGTTACAGTTCCGCTCCGACTCGATACCTCACACCGGCTCTGGCCGCCCGTAGGCCAGGAGAGCCCGGCGAGCTGCGGGTGGAACGGGCACGTCGGGTGGAGGGGGCAAGCGGAGCTCGGCACCCGGTCGGGGGCTCGCGGCCGCGGGGCTGCCGTGCCGCCCGGCCCACAGAGGACGGGAGGATCGGGTGCCACGGTTCCCGGGGTGGGGGGCCCTACCTGCCTCCTGAGCACCTCGCCGCTCTGCCGCTCCCGGCGGTACAGGCGTTGGGAGCGCCGCAGCCGCCGCCGCGCCCGCTCCAGCTTCGCGCGGCACGCGTCCAGCTCCGCCTGCAGCGCCGTCGCCGCCGCCTCCTCCTGCTCGCCCGGGTCCGCTCGGCTCTCGGCGAGGCTCTCCGGCGAGGAGGCCATGACCGACCACTCACCCGCCCCTGCGCCGCCGCCGAT